GAACGGACCTTGGAGGTCTTCTAGTCCAACCCCTTGCCTAGGCGGGAAACCCCACACCACATGATGACGCAACGGTCGTAAGTGTGAAAAACAATCAGAAGTCACTTTTTTCAGTGCCCTTGCAACTTTGCAGGGTCACTCAAAGGAGTGTTGTAAATTGAGGATTATCTATATGACATGCAACAGAGGTGTAGCCTCCCACATCTTCTGAAAGCCCAGATATTTTACTCCCATAATAGCAGAATCTTCTTCTTCTTACAAGCTGCGTCTTCTAAAAGTGAGCGAACTTCGATCAGACGCCTAAAGAACCGCCAAAGAAATCTTGATGCTTAATAGCAATAGCACTTTAGACTTAGATACCGCTTCGCAGTGCTTTCCAGCCCTCTCTTAAGTGGTTTACAGAGTTAGCATTCTGCCCCTAACAATCTGGGTCCTCATTTTACCGACCTCGGAAGGATGGAAGGCTGAGTCAACCTTGAGCCGGTCAGGATCGAACTCCTGGCAGTGGGCAGAGTCAACCTGCAATACTGCATTCTAACCACTATGCCACCAGGAAGGAGAATGAGAAAGGGAATAAGAGAGGAGGGGAGGGAGGGAGGGAGGGAGGGAAGGATAGCAATGGCATATTGCCCCCAACAATCTAGGTCCTTATTTTACTGACCTCGGAAGGATGGAAGGTTGAGTCAACCTTGAGCTAGTCAGGATCGAACTCCTGGCAATGAGCTCAATTATCTTGCAGTACTGCATTCTAACCACTATGCTACCACAGTTCCTTCCTTTTTCTTTTTTTTTCTTTTTTTCTTTCTTTCTTTCTTTCTTTCTTTCTTTCTTTCTTTCTTTCTTTCTTTCTTTCTTTCTTTCTTTCTAATCTTTCTTTCTTTCTTTTCTTTCTTCCTTCCTTTCTTTCTTTTTCCTTCCTTCCTTCCTTCCTTCCTTCCTTCCTTCCTTCCTTCCTTCTTAAATAGCAATAATAGACTTAGATACGGCTTCACAATGCTTTTACAGCCCTCTCTAAGCGTTTTAAAGAGTCAGCCTATTGCCCCCAACAATTTGGTCCTCATTTTACCAACCTCGGAAGGACGGAAGGCTGAGTCAACCTTGAGCCTGGTGAGATTCGAACTGCCAAATTGCAGGCAGTCAGCAGAAATAGCCTGCAATACTGCACTCTAACCGCCGCGCCACCACAGCCAAAATAAACCAAGAGGCACCTGGATTTTTGACCTACCGAGGCATGTACCTTCCATTTTGCAGAAGTTCAATCAATTAGCCAGCCAATAAATCAAGATCTGGATTATCTACAACTTGTTCGTGTATTTATTGGTGTATTTATTCAATGTTGAAATTAAGGTGCAAAAAGTAGAGATTTCTTGGAGCAGAGTTAAGAGGACAAATGATAAGCAAATCCATGGATGGTTTTGAATAAAATGTATGTATCAGCCTTCTTCTATCTGGATCATTTTACCCCAACTACACGTAGTCCTCAACTTAGGACCACAATTGAGCCCAGAATTTATGTTGTTAAAGAAGAAATTTGTTAAGTGAGTGTTGCCCCATGTTAAGACTTTCCTTGCCATATTTGTTAAGTGAATCACTGCAATTGTTGAGTTAATAACATGGTTGTTAAGCAAATCTGGTTTCCCCACTGACTTTGTTTGTCAGAAGGTCGCAAAAGGGAATCGTGTGACTCTGAGACACTGGAGCTGTCATAAACGTGAAATTTCCAAAATTAATCCAAAATTAATGTAAATCGCGTGACGCTGGGGAGGCTTCAAGGATCGTAAGTGCGAAAACGGTCCTAAGTCACTTTTTCCAGTGCTGTTGTAACTTCAGGCAGTCACAGACCTGTTGTAAGTAGAGGACTACCTGTATATAATAACATCCAGCCTGTAAAATTGGAGAAAATGAACTCACAACACTTGTTTATTAGACGACAGTAAACTGGGGAAGTTTTGAGTGTTTAAACCTTTTTAAGTCCTCAACGTACGACCACAATTGACAGCTGTCTCGCTTAGCAACATAAATGTTGGGCTCAATTGCAGTCATAAGTTGAGGACTGCCTGTATATTTCTCTTTGGATGAAGCTGTTAAAAAAGGGACATCACTTCTGCCTCTTGGTAGCAGTGAGTTCTGTGGGAAAGAGGCCTTAATGATATCCTAAGAGGTGACAAAGGCAGCTTAGATATTTGAGAAAGATTTATCGAATCTAATTTCTTTGATATCCGGTTCAGAGAAGGAAAAGCAGAGACCAGTCACTTAAATTAGTTTATCATAGTACGATTAAATATTGCAGTGGCCTAGAGGTGGCGCTCTTGCCTCACCATCAGGAGGCTGTGAGTTCGATCCTAGGTAGACGCAGGTATTTCTCTCTCTGGGCACAATGAGAATATATATCTGCTGAACAAAACTCCGCATTGGTGACAGGTGACAGGTGACAGGTGACACTCTTCTGGCTCCATTCAGTTGCCCAGACTCCACCACGCAAAGGATCACTGGGTCATTAAATGAAGATGTTAGTACGATTAAATATGGAACTCTGGGGGATCCATAGCTGCCCACCATAATTAAATGAACAAACCTCCAGATCACCTTATCCCAAAGATCCTGCTTGGGAAGGAATTTAAAGATAGCTTGAGAAAAGGATAGGAAAGTTTTTAAGGGCTTGGGAGAAGCGAGCATGTAGTCCAGAGATAGAAGGAAGTGTAAGAGTAGTGGCCAAAATTGTGGAAACCTTTTGGGAAAAGTGTATTTTTGAGGTTTGATGTCTAATAGCATCACTTTTTTGGGGGGAGTTTCAAGATAATCCTATTCCACTGCTGGGAATAGCCCAGACCTTAACCCAATGGAAAATCTATGGAGCCGACTAAAGAAACTTGTTAGTCAGAAGTGACCCAGCAATCAAACCCAGTTAATAGAAGCCATCATTCCATCTTGGTTTCGCATTATTAGAACAGCCGCACAACTAAAAGACTTAGTTCACTCCAAGGGAAGACGTTGTAAGGCCGTAATTCATGCTAAAGGTGACCCAACTAACGCAGTGGTTAGAGTGCAGTACTGCAGCTACTTCAGCTGACTGCTAGTTCAGCAGATCAGCGGATCAAATCTCACCGGCTCAAGGTTGACTCAGCCTTCCATCCTTCCGAGGTGGGTAAAATGAGGACCCAGATTGTTGGGGGGCAATATGCTATTTAGTATACTGTCTTTGGTGTAAGCCACCCCAGAGTTCTCGGAGAGTGGGCGGCATAGAAATATGACTAATAAAATGAATAAATAAATAAACTAAGGATTAACTGACATGGGGATCATTTTTGCATGTCTCGTTTTTTCTAGGATGATCATTTTTGTATGGCTCGTATTTTCTACGTGTTTCCCTTTTCTTCTTTATACTGTCACTGCTATTCTAATAGCAAACCCTTCATCGAAGTCATTGCATGACATTCTTGATTAAAGTATCTTTCCATTGATATATAATTTTGTAGTACTATTCCCAAAAAAAAGCAGCGTTATTAGCTAGTTTTAGAAAATACACTTTTCCCAAAAGGTTTTCACAATTTTGGCCACGACTGTAGATCGGGGGCGGGGGGGGGGACGACCCTACCCAAGCAGAAAACCCTTTACCATTTCAGAGAGGTGATTATCCGGTCTTTTGTTAAAAAACTCCAGCGATGAAGCACCCCACAAGGCAAGCATCCCACTGAGTAATTGCTGTCATTGCAAGGAAATTTCTCCTTAATTCTTTTAACAGAGAGCGGAAAAATTCAGAGAGGCTTTGATGGTATCGTTATTATACATATAATTAGAATCTTTGCTAAGCTTTCTTCTTAACCATATCTACCTCACAAATTATTTATTTATTATTAGTTCGATTTATATGCCGCCCTTCTCCGGAGACTCAGGGCGGCTTACAATGCTTTTAAGCAATAGCCTTCATACTTTTGTATATACCTGCTTAGTAGGGCTTTTGGCCCCCCCCAAGCGGTGTTCTGTTTTATACAAAGTCAGCTTATTGCCCCCACAAACCGGGTCCTCATTTTACCTACCTCGGAAGGATGGAAGGCTGAGTCAACCGTGAGCCTGGTGAGATTTGAACTCGCAGTAATTGCAGGCAGATAAATACTACTTTAACAGTAGTTTAGTCCACTGCACCACCAGGCTCCTGACATTATTTTCCTTGGAAAAGCAATTAACAGAATAACGGAGTGGGAAGGGACCTCGGAGGTCTTCTAGTCCACCCCCCTCAATGCCGTTCAAACAGGAGACCCTCTGCTGTTTCAGCCTAACGGTTGTCCAATTTTTCTTTAAAAAAAACCTCCAGTGATGGAGCAACCCACAATGTCTGGAGGGAAGTCATTCCACTGAGTAATTGTTATAAGGCCAGTTACCCAAAAAATAAATAAAAAAATAAATATTCTCTCTCCTTTCTCACAATTTTGCTTTGGGAAATTAAGACATTTCCTTGCGCTGCGGATTAAATTTGTATCCAGAGTCATAAGACAAAGAATTTACCAACTAAAAAACAGGCCCAAAAATCAGCTGGCCGGCGCACACATGTGGGCTGGAGCTTAGCTACGGCAACGCTCGCGTGCCAACTGATCCGGTTCCGTGTGCCACCTGTGGCACCCGTGCCATAGGTTCGCCATCACAGCCCTATACCAGTGATGGCGAAACTTTTTGGCACTGAGTGCCCAAATCGGATTGTGCACGCATCTGCCACGCATGCCTGTTTGGGGGCCATTTTCTGGGCTGTTTTTGGCCCAAAAATTGCCCTGAAAACACCCAAAAAATCGCCCTGAAAACACCCAAAAAACAGGCCATTTTCTGGGCCTGGAAATGGGCTGGAAAAGCCCCAAAAAATGGAAACCAGAAGAGCAGCTGCGGATGGCACGCGTGTACACAGAGAGGGCTCTGCATGGCACCTCTGGCACGCGTGCCACAGGTTCGCCATCACGGCCCTATACCATTTTAGGCAAACGATTGCCCAGATTAATTGTTCTCACTAGCCATGCTTTTAAAATATCCTGGTTTAGGATGATGTGTGAACCTATAGACAAATATGCAGATAGAACATATCACAGTTTCTCAGCCTATCTTCCCTTTTGCGAAGAACTAGAGTTTATCTGGTTTTTCACTTCGCCCATATGGAATCTAAGTAGGTCTCGTAAAGCACAATTTATGGCTCGTTGCGGTGTTTATCGACTTCAGCAACTTTTAAGATGGGTGGACTTCAAGAGAATAACAGAGTTGGAAGGGACCTTGGAGGTCTTCTAGTCCTACCCCCTGCTGAAGTAGGAGACCGTATGCCATTCCAGACATATGGTTGTCCAGTCAAAACCTCCAGGGATGGAGCAGAACTTCTGAAGGAGCACAACTTCTGGAGGCAAGTTCTTCCACGGATTAATTGTTCTACTTGTCAGGAAATTTCTCCTCAGTTCTAGGTTGCTTCTCTCCTTGATTAGTTCCCATCCATTGCTTCTTGTCCTGCCTTCAGGGGTTTTGGAGAATAGCATTAACGTCCGTACGTCTGTGCGTACATGCCTACACATCTTCAACAGCCCTATGGGTTCAGCCCTCCATGAAGTCCCAGTTTGTCATGTGGCCCCTTGAGAAAATTAATTGCCCAACCCTGCATTAAGGAGGTCACAATAAACATTGGCCCACCCTTCAGTGAGGACACTTCATCAAGATGGCGACTTGGTAGGGCCTCAAAAGTTGAAGCCGTGGCACCTTCTTTCTCCTACTTCCAGGAAGTGCACTTTTATGACAGGTTGAGGTCACCCTGGTCATGGTTGCTCCAGAGAACATCGTTTTCCATAGTTCGGAGGAAGAATAAACTATGATCGTTCTCTCCCTCCAATCCTGGTTAGACTTCCAAGGCCACAAGGTCAAGGTGAAGGAATCCCATATTTGATGGTTGAAGGATTAACCATCTGCTTTGGGCACAAGGGCTAAAAGACCAGTCCATGGAAGGACCCCGATCCACCTCCACCAGGGTCATGGCTGCAACCCCCTGAGGCACCTTCGTCATCCTCGTGGTCATCTCTGTCAAGATCTTTCCACCAAACGGAAGATTTCGGCAAAGCTGAAATGTAAACCTTTCTACTTCTGGCTTGCTTTTCTTGTTCCTGTGGATGAAAAAAAAAGAGACACACCCAAGACAAAAACCACACACATACGTATACACATCAACACACCCACACACAAAACCCAGCTCAAGCAAGCATATAAATCTCCAGTTAATTAAACAGTGGGGGGAAAAAAACCTAACTGGGAAGGAAGCCCCAATGGTGCTTTTTTTCTGGAGGCAACTGGACTTCCTTGTTTTTTTCTTTTGAAGACGTTTCGCGTCTCATCCAAGAAGCTTCTTCAACTCTGACAGGATAGTGGGGAATGGATAGCGGGGAATGGAAGCTGAAGAAGCTTCTTGGATGAGACGCGAAATGTCTTCAAAAGAAAAAAAAACAAGGAAGTCTGATGGACTGTCTGCTAAATAATCGTATTGGTAAAGCGGCCACCACATTTTCCAGACTTACAAAGCGAATATGGCTTAATAAGAAGCTGACGGAACAGTTGTGGCTCCGTTGCCTGAGCCTGGGCTATCGACAGATGCAGACTCTGAGAGTGAGGGGGAGGAGTTGGCAAGGTCTCCCGCTCCAGGACCCTCCTCTCTGGCAATGCCTCCGGAGGACACCGAAAGCCAAACGATAGGCTCAGAGCCAAGCACGTCCCCGCAGCCACAGGTGGACAGCGATGAAGAAGATAAGTGCTGGCTGGACCCGCGACAGAGGCGCAGGGAGAAGCGTGCACAGCAGAAGGGAAGGCGTGCCAGAGATTAGCTGAGTCACTGGACCACACCCCACAGGGTATAAATGTGGGTGTGGTGGCCAGTTCAGTTTGTGACGAGCAAAAACTGGAAATACTCCATGATCTCTGTGTTATTGGACTTTGCCTGCTTTATCGGACTGCATTTGGATTAATCCTTGTATTGTTGACACTCTGCCTGTTTTATCGGAATGCTGGCAGTCTAATCTTTGTTTTATGTGAGTAAAGTCTGTATTGGCAGCTAGCCACTGGGTTGCTGCCAGCTTTATCATCAAAGAGTTTTGTCGTGTGGCTTATTAACTTCGGGCCGTCTGTGGGGGTGCGTGTGGGGTACGGGGACAGAACAGGAACATACAAAGATCCTGGTCTATAGAGCCTGCGTCCTGAGCACACTCTTGTACTGCAGTGAGTCTTGGACCCTTTACGCACGGCAGGAGAGAAAGTTGGACACCTTTCATATGCGCTGTCTCCAACGTATTCTTGGCATCACCTGGCAGGACACAGTTCCAAATAGCACAGTCTTGGAATGTGCTGGAATTTCTAGCATGTATACACTATTGAAACACAACGTCTACGCTGACTGGGGCATGTCGTGAGAATGGCCAATGGTCGGATTCCGAAAGTTCTCCTGTATGGAGAATTAGTGCAGGAAGGCACCTCAGAGGGAGACCACAGCTGCGATATAAAGATATCTGCAAGAGGGGGACGGACATTAACAGCTGGGAAACCTTGACCTCCGATTGTTCAGTTTGGAGGCTAAAGACACAGCATGGCCTTCTCCAATTCGAAGAGACACTTGTTCGGCAGGCTGAGGCAAAGAGGCAGTCCCGGATCCAGCGAAATCTGGGAGCTGGGCAGGGGACAGAATGTATTTTCCCTCAGTGTTGAAGGGATTGCCACTCTCGAATTGGCCTTTTTAGTCACACCAGATGCTGTTATAGGATCTCTTTCCAGAGCACGATACCACAGTCTCTTGAGACTGAAGGATGCCAATGACATGTCTGCTAAAATAAAGCCAGGTCATGGCACACGCTTGAAAGTAAATCAAGAAGCCTGTAATTGTCGGAGTGTGTCTGGCAAGAACAAAGAATGCTTATCTACAGGAAATACGCATGTGTAAATTCTGGGTAGTTAGAAAGCTGATCAAAGTAACAAGAGTTAGACAACTTGCAGGCCTCAGCTAAAAATTAGGAATAGAGATGGCCTGCAGCCAATAAAATGTCTATTAGATAACTCCTGGGGCATTCATTAGCAAAAGACTTAGGAATAGGGACAGCTAGAGACCAATAGAACAATTTGTAGAATTATTACTAAAATGTTTATTAGATGATATTTCTTATTATCTCGCCTTGTCCCGCCTTCTCTTTTAGTGAAAATATATAAAGTTTTCTTAATCCTTTGTTCTTGGCTCTCTTGGCATTTTGGCCAGGAGCCCTTTTCCTTGGAGTACTCCAATAAAAAGCAATCAGAAAACCTGCATCTCGTGTCTGGCATCCATCACTGGCTTTGGCACCAGGCTCAGACCCGAATTGGGGACAACAAATCCACTTGCCTCCTTTGGGACAACCATGACCTGGATGACTGAGAATCTGCATAGTGTCAGACTTCGATGCTATCTCAAAATAAATGAATTTCCAAACTGCCAATCTTTAAGGAAATCTTTTCTTTAATTGAGCACAGCCACCGGATCATGACTCGATGAGGACAAGACTGACCTTTTGCCCCCCAATCCCTCCCTTTGATCCCCAAATCTCTGCTTCTCATTGGCTATCTTCCAAGTCATTCTTCAGACTTCTTGTCTCGTCATTTCCCAGGAATGTCTCCCCCCTTCATTTCCACAACAACCCGACTTCAAAGGGATTTAGCAGGCAAAAGTTCAGAGCTTATCTCTCTCTCCCTTCTGCTCTCTATGCCAGCGTCGAAGCGCTGACACATAGACTTTTAGCAATACAATTTGGGATGAAGACTCTTGGAATGGTGAGGGAATAGGAATGGATTTCCAGAGGAAAAAATGGCAGACTATAGGCCATTTTAGTCCTGTAGCACCACTTGGGTGACCCTGAGGACACAGATAAACCTCCAAGTAGCCTCAACGACCTGCTAAAAGGATGCAAATGACCAGCTGTCTGCAAAGAGTATCAATCCTTCCATTCCCCACCATCCAGTCAGAGCTGAAGAAGCTTCTTGGTTGAGAAGCAAAATGTCTTCAAAAGAAAAAACAAGAAAAGTCTAGTTGAAAACTCCAGAAAAAGCACCTTTGGGACAACCATGACCTGGATGATTGGGAATCTTTACAGACTTTTAACTGGGGGGGGGACCCCAAAAGAAATGAGTCGATGATGGTGGGAAACCATATTACCTGCAAGAATAAGATGTTATCTTTCGAGATGGCGTCCATCAAGTTTTTATCCGGAGAATGTAAGCTTCCATTTGTCCAGCTGGGTTCTGGACCAGCTCCATTTGTGGCCTGCCTCGCTCTTTGTCTGTAGAACAGAAGGTAAGCCGTGTCCTTCGGCAGGAATGAGGTCACGTTGCTCACAGATTCAAAGGATGAGAAGAAAACCCTGGTGTCGTTAAAGATGTACCACTGGATCTCGACATCCGTAGGCTTCGTTGAAGCCATGTTCCAAGTGTTGTCCTTACAAAGGCTCTCAGTGGCCGGATCCTCACATTCCCTGGCATAGCAGTAGTAATGGCCGCTTTCTGAGGAGACCCCAGAATGGACCACCACGCTACAGAGATCGTACACTATCGAAGAGAAGTCCTTGCAGGACGAAGTCCATCCTGACGTCCTCGCTTGGTCAGAAGAAGACACCAGGACCGGCAGCTTCAGTATCAATGGGACCGAGACGTTGTCAAGGATCTTCTTTCTTCTCATCGTTCCGAGGTCGAAGGAGAACCTCAACAGGGTGAGGATGAGGTAGTGAGGTCCCTCCGTCAGCTCGGTCAACTTCTCAGCATCTTGAAGGGAGGCACAGTTCTCACAGTGGTACCTGTTCTCGGCAGTCAGCATCTCAGGTGATAAGAAATAATTTATCAAATCCGGAACAGATCTAGAGGCCCGACAACCAGAAACTTGCTTGTGTAAAGCCAGGTCAGATTTTTTGACGGGCTTCACTTCAACAACGTCTCGTTCAGATGTCAAGGGGAGAGAGGTCTCTTCAAATTTTGACCCAATGGCTTCCATAGGTGGGCTTTTAGAAGGATTCTCCTCAGGGCCCTCAAGATCCCTGACCTAGTTGGCAAATCCTTTAGCTTGCTTTGAGTCTGGATCTTTGACCGAGAGATCTCAGGACCTGTTTCTTCTCCAGATCCAATCAATGCACCGCTGATAAATCCAGCCTGGTGGCCATCAGCTGGGGGAAACGCCAAGGAGAGATCAGTGAAGGCTTCTTCTCTGGAGGAGACCTGTAGGCACTTCAGACAACGGATCTTGGTCTTAATTTTGCCCCCAAACATTTCTTCCACCAAGGTTTTGCTGGCGGAGGGACATCTGTCCACAGGAGACACCAAGGAACATGCCTTGAGCTTCTGACAGATCCTTCTACCTGTTCGCTCTTCCTCATGAAGACTTTGGGAAAAACAAAGAGATACTAAGGCATAGAAATTCTCCTTTTAAAGCCAGAACAAATGTGTTTTTTTTTTAAAAAAAAAGAACACCACCTTGGACTTAAATGATTGTCCGCTGTCTTCTTAAAAAACCCTCCACTGTGAATCCAGATCTAAATCTCCTCTGAATTTGGAAGCCAGCATTATTAATGAATAAACTGCTGGTTTGAATTATTTATATTTATAACTGCTGGCTTGAATTATTTATGATTGTAATTATTCCCGTAGCCTTTAAATTTATTATAGCTGCCAACTCTCCTGTTTTCTTGACAAAGTAATTTCACCTCAGCCTTGGACAGCTTAAACCAGGGGTCTCCAGCCTTGGCAACTTTAAGCCTGGAGGACTTCAACTCCCAGAATTCCCTGGCCAGCTTTGCTTTGCTGGCCGGGAATTCTGGGAGATGGAGTCCTCCAGGCTTAAAGTTGTCAAGGTTGGAGACCTCTGGCTTAAACCATTGTTTCTCTTTTTTTTTTTTTTATTGAAAAAGTTTTCAAATACAAATTTTTCCGCCCTTTTTTTCCCCCCCTCCCCCTCCCTAACCCCCCCTCCCCACCCATCCCCCCCTGTGACTTCTTCGTAACAAAAAAAACCCTAATTCATAACAGATTACTTACTCCCTCCTCAATTGTTTCTCAATGGTGGCCACTTTAAGATGTGTGGACTTCAACTCCCAGAATTCCCTAACCAGCATGGCTGGCTGGGGAATTCTGGGACTTGAAGTCCACTCATCTTAAAGTGGTTAAGGCTGAAAAACACTGGGTTAAATAATCCAAATCACATTTTCTCAAACCATTTTCAATCTACTTTACCGATCGAGCAGGTATTTCAGATATTCCGAGCAATCTTGCTGGGCTCCTCGGGTGAACCAGGGGGGCCACGAAGCCAAAAAGAAGTTTTCAGGAGAAATCGCAGGCCGCTGACAGAGATATCAGAAAGGGAAGAAAGCAGAGAATTAAACAAACAAACAAACATTGAAAGCGTTTTGGTACCTGCAGTTTAGATATCAGGCTGTCCTATTTTACCTGGGCCTTTTTTTCATTAAGGTTACTGGAATTGATTTTTTTTCTTTTTTACCTGCTAAATTTATACATGAGTTTATTTTAATTTTGTACGTAGTGGTTAAGGTGCCATCCTCGAAACAAGGAGATGGTGAGCTCTAGTCCCACCTTAGGCATGAAGGTGACTTCGGGCTGATCACCAGGAGACTGTGAATTCTAGTGTCATCTTAGCCATGAAAGCTAGCTGGGTGCCTCTGGGCTGATCACTAGGAGACTGTGAGTTCTAGTGCCACCTTACCAACGAAACCAGCTGGGTGACTTTGGGCCAATCACCAGGAGACTGTGAGTTCTAGTGCCATCTTAGCCATGAAAGCTAGCTGGATGACTTTGGGCTGATCACTAGGAGACTGTGAGTTCTAGTGACATCTTAGCCATGGAAGCTATCTGGATGACTTTGAGCTGATCACTAGGAGACTGTGAGTTCTAGTGCCAGCTTACCCATGAAAGCCAGCTGAATGACTTTGGGCTGATAACTAGGAGACTGTGAGTTGTAGTGCCATCTTAGCCATGAAAGCTATCTGGGTGATTTTGGGCCAATCATCAGGAGATGGTGAGTTCTAGTCCCACTTTAGGCATGAAAACCGACTGGGTGATTTTGGGTCAATCACCAGGACACTGTGAGTTCTAGTGCCACCTTACCCATGAAAGCCAGCTGGGTGACTTTGGGCTGATCACCAGGAGACTGTGAATTCTAGTGTCATCTTAGCCATGAAAGCTAGCTGGGTGCCTCTGGGCTGATCACTAGGAGACTGTGAGTTCTAGTGCCACCTTACCAACGAAACCAGCTGGGTGACTTTGGGCCGATCACCAGGAGACTGTGAGTTCTAGTGCCATCTTAGCCATGAAAGCTAGCTGGATGACTTTGGGCTGATCACTAGGAGACTGTGAGTTCTAGTGCCAGCTTACCCATGAAAGCCAGCTGAATGACTTTGGGCTGATAACTAGGAGACTGTGAGTTGTAGTGCCATCTTAGCCATGAAAGCTAGCTGGGTGACTTTGGGCCAATCACCAGGAGATGGTGAGTTCTAGTCCCACTTTAGGCATGAAAACCGACTGGGTGATTTTGGGCCAATCACCAGGACACTGTGAGTTCTAATCCTGCCTCAGGCATGCTGACTGGGGAATTCTGGGATTTGAAGGTTGAGAAGCACATCCCTAATCATTATTCAAATAAACATGGAGCTTACTGGCCCCAAAAGCAACACCCTACAATTAAGAAAAATGTTCAATTAATTACCTGGCTGTGCTCTAAAAAAGCAAAGAGCCATTGTAATTTTGCCATCAGCGGCTGCGAGTTGTTCTCGGCTAAATTCAACACCGTCCGCCTGAAACTGTAAAGGAAAAGATTTTCCCCTTAAATTTAAAAAGGGAAGCTTGTTACAAAATCCCAGCGTCCGTTAATCCATTTACTTAAGCCCAGATCCCAGGTGAATGGAACCCGTAGGCACATAATCACCCTTCCTTTAAAGTTCGTTCCAAACTATGAAAATATAAATAATAGGTCTGCCGTGGACGGCATTATATGACCCTCTACAATCCTTGAATGGCCTCCAGGTGGCCTTAGCTAAAGTACAAGCTGAATTAAACGGAGGTGGTTTTGTCCCCAAATAATTACATTTAGTTCTTCAACCTTCCGTACAGAAGGTCGTGGCTTTGTTCATTGCAAAATGCCAAGCATAGTTTTGTCCTGGGTTGTTACAAGAACCCTGGTGGCGCAGTGGTTAGAATGCAGTATTGCAGGCTGACTCTGCCCACAGTCAGGAGTTCGATCCTATTGCTATTGCTATTGCTATTGCTATTGTCTGTCTGTCTGTCTGTCTGTCTGTCTGTCTGTCTGTCTGTCTGTCTGTCTATCTATCTATCTATCTATCTATCTATCTATCTATCTATCTATCATCAACACCCGTGGTGGCGCAGTGGTTAGAATACAGTATTGCAGGTTGACTCTGCCCACACTCAGGAGTTCGATCCTATTGCTATTGCTGTCTGTCTTTCTGTCTGTCTGTCTGTCTGTCTCTCTCTCTCTCTCTCTCTCTGTATCTATCTGTCTCTATCTCTCTCTCTCTATCTATCTATCTCTATCTATCTCGATCTATCTCTCTCTCTCTCTCTCTCTCTCTATCTATCTATCTATCTATCTATCTATCTAGATCTATCTCGATCTATCTCTATCTCTATCTCTCTATCTATCTCTATCTCTCTATCTCTCTATCTATTTCTCTATCTATCTATCATCAAGAGCCATGGTGGCGCAGTGGTTAGAACACAGTATTGCAGGTTGACTGCCCACAGTCAGGAGTTCAATCCTATTGCTATTGCTGTCTGTCTTTCTCTCAATGTCTGTCTGTCTGTCTGTCTGTCTGTCTGTCTGTCTGTCTGTCTGTCTGTCTGTCTGTCTGTCTGTCTATCTATCTATCTATCTATCTATCTATCTATCTATCTATCTATCTATCTTTCTATCTATCTATCTATCATCAAGAGCCGTGGTGGCCCAGTGGTTAGAATACAGTATTGCAGGTTGACTCTGCCCACAGTCAAGAGTTCGATCCTGACCGGCTCAAGCCTTCTGTCCTTCCGAGGTGGGTAAAATGAGGACTCAAGATTGTTGGGGGCAACAGGCTGACTCTGCAAACTGCTTAGAGAGGGCTATAAAGCACTGTGAAGCGGCATATAAGTCTGAGTGCTATTGCTATAAATCAGTTATAGGTTCTTGTCTTCTTGATTTAAAATGATTTAAATACTCCAGCTCAGCAAATAACAAGGTTGGCCTGTTTTGGCTTGAGCTTGGAATCTAGGCAGGTTGAAAGCTGGTTAATATGTGGAAGGAACGCCACCAGGAAATCCCAGACTTTGTAGGCCGGACTGTAAATTTCAAGGAACATCTGGAAAAAGGCAGTTAATAAACTCCTTCCATATCGCTATAAAATCCACTGCCCATTCCTGAATACAACTCAGTTGATCTTTATCAGATGCTGCGCTAAAGGCCCGTCTCCAAATTCAGCAAATTTGCTGGTCCTGCTAGGCCAAAATGAACGAATAACTAGAACTTGAGATGTGTGGATTAATTCTTACAACTCCGAGGATAAATCCTCAAATGTGCTATTATTATGTTTCGTAACGATTGTCATGTCCCCATCGGAGTCTGAATCTGTGTGGGAAAATGAGCTGGAACAAGAACTGACGGAGAATGAGAAGGTGGCTCAGTTGGCCTTGGAGGAAACTGGGAAAGGGCAGTCAGTCCAGGCAAGACTTTTCTGAATTACTAAGGCCTGCAGACAGGGAGGAACAGGAGAGAAAGGGCTCAGGCGAAGAGCAAGGACCACTCCCTCCTGATCCTAGAACAAGGAGAGAAGAGAGAAGGCGAGAACAACGCAGACTGAGCCGGCTGCAAGGGAGGAGAGTGCCCTACCCCCCCCCCCCACTTCACAAGGCACACCTGGGGACTGAGACGTAAGGAGGTGCCGGTAGGAGGGGCATTTGTCGGGAACAAGCATTGAATCTGCGGGGCCTCCTGTGCACTTGCTGACGCCTGGAGATTGCTGTGCTCTGTCTTGTGGGGTTTGCCCGGTTCGTCTGCTTTGCTGAACTTCTTGCTCTGGTTACTGTTTTGCTAACCTGGCTTACTAGACTGCTGGCCCTGGTTGCTGTGTGGCTAATTTTGCTTACTGGGCTACTCCCGGGGTGGGCTTCCAAAATTTTAGCAAGGGGTTCTCTGCCCGGTTGCTGGGTGGGCGTGGCCATGGTGGGCATGGCCTAGTCGGCCTCCTGCACCATGGCGGGGGGGAATTTTTGCCCTCCCCTGGCTTCAGAGACTTTCCTTGATCCTCCGGGAGGGCGAAAACGGCCTCCCCAGGCTCCGGAGGCCCTCTGGAGCTTGAACATCTGGTAGGCCCATTTTTCGCCCTTCCTGAGCCTCCACGCGTGCCCTGCACTTACCTGCATCCAAAATGGGCCACGTGGGGACTCCTGGGAGGTGCGGGGCAGGCAGGGCCAGCTAGGAGTGGGATTTGGGGGTTCTCCGAACTGCACAGAATCGTAGCTAGAGGTTCTCCCGAACCCCTGCGAACCCCCAACAGCCCACCCCTGGACTACTCGCAGCCAGAGGCTTCTGAAGGTGCATGCGAGAGCTTTGCTCCAGGACTTGTAGCGAATGTGGGGACGTTTAGGGGCACAGTAGGAGCAATAAAGGGGTGTTAAACCTGTTCTCTGGTTGTGTTGCTTTCATGCCACACCCCGGGTCATCACAACGATGGACCTGCTCGGATTAGATGCTTCTAACAAGGACACAGTTAGTCCTCCACTTATAACCATTGGTTCAGCAACCGTTGGAAGTTACAACAGCACTGGAAAAAAAGTGAGTTACGGCCATTTTTTTCCATACTTGCGACCATTGAAGCATCCCCATTGGTCACATGGTCGAAATTCAGAGGCTTGGCCACTGATTTATATCGATGACAGATGCAATGTCCTGGGGTCATGCGATCACCTTTTTAAAAAAAATTTGATTTATATGCCGCCCTTCTCCGGAGATTCAGGGCGGCTTACAATACGTTAAGCAGTAGCCTTCATCCTTTTGTATATTTATACAAAGTCAGCTTATTGCCCCCACAAACTGGGTCCTCAATTTACCTACCTTAGAAAGGATGGAAGGCTGAGTCAACCTTGAGCCTTGGAGAGATTCGAACCAGCAGTAATTGCAGGCAGCTGAATGTTAATAACAGGCTATTAGTCTGCTGCGCCACCAGGCTTTTGATGACCTTTACACGGCAAGTCAATGGGGAAGCGCGATTCACTTAACAACGGTGTCGCTAACGCTTACTGTGGCCAGAAAAGTCGCAAAATGGGGCAAAACGTCCATGAACGTCTCGCTTAAGCAACGGAAATTTGGAGCTCCATTGTGGTCGCAAGTCGAGGACTAGCTAACTCCCATTCCCTTGCATATTTAGACCAGGGATTTGCAACCTTAAACACTCAAAGAGCCATTTGGACCCGTTTCCCACAGAAAAGAAAACACCGGGAGCCACAAAACCCTTCCCGTGACTGACTATTTCATGAGCGGCCACAAAACTAGCCTATGTAGTTGAATTAAATGTTCTGTTTTCTTCTGAAACTTTTCTTTTCTTGGATTTATCCATGGTTGGCCTACCGGGGGTTGAAAAGCTCAATAAATCGCGTGCCAGAGGGTGTCGCACATTGGCGATTGTGACGCATATTTTGAGTGACAGGGAGCCGCAGCAGAGGGGTGAAAGAGCCACATGCGGCTCCAGAGCCACAGGTTGCTGACCCCTGGTTTAGACAGAGGGCGAGAGACCGCGTGCGTTAAAACCCCTAAATGCAAACACAGAGTGAGGGGAGGCAGAAGCGGGAGGGGGGGGCTGCCTACTCTGAGGCCATGAAGAGAGCTTGGAGGATGCTGTTCATGTAGCAGGTGTTCCCCAGGTTAATTAACCCAATCTTCCCGGTTTCCGATTTGGAGGCCAAGCGAGGATAGAGGTTGGCCAACTCGTTTTTCTGGGAGGTCCATGCGTTCTGCCCCAGCAGATGCTTAATGCGATCTTCGTTAGGAATTGGGAGAGCCTTCCAAGAAGAGAAGGGGAGAGAAAGAGAGAGGGAGAGTGGTGGGTGGGTGGGTGGGTGGGGGAGAGAGAGAGGGAGAGGGGGAGTGAGAGGGGGGAGGAGAGAGAGGGAGAAAGAGAGAGGGAGAGTGGTGTGTGGGTGGGAGAGAGAGAGGGAGGGACAGGGAGGGGGAGGAGAGGGGGAAAAGGAAGAGGGGGAAGAGAGAGGGAGAAAAGGAGAGTGGGAGGAGAGAGAGGGAGAGAGAAAGAGGGAGAGTGGGTGGGAGGGAGAGAGCGAGGTCAGTGGGTGGGAGAGAAAGAGAGGGAGGGAGAGGGTGGGGGGAGGAGAGAGAGGGAGAAAGCAGGAGAGTGGTGGGTGGGTGGGAAAGAGAGGGAGAGGGTGGGGGAAGAGAGAGGGGGAAAAGGAGAGAGAGGGAGAGAGAAAGAGGGAGAGTGGGTGGGAGGGAGAGAGTGAGGTCAGCGGGTGGGAGAGAGAGGGAGGGAGGGAGAGGGGGGAGAGAGAGGGAGAAAAGAGAGAGGGAGAGTGGTGGGTGGGTGGGAGAGAGAGGGAGAGAGGGAGATGGAGGGGGGAGGGGGGAGGGGCGGAGGAGAGAGAGGGAGAAAGAGAGAGGGAGAGTGGTGGGTGGGTGAGAGAGAAAGGGAGGGACAGGGAGGGGGAGGAGAGGGGGGAAGGAAGAGGGGGAAAAGAGAGGGGGAAAAGGAGAGAGGGGGAGGAGAGAGACGGAGCGAGAAAGAGGGAGAGTGGTGGGTAGGAGGGAGAGAGCGAGGTCAGTGGGTGGGAGAGAAAAGGAGAGTGTGGGAGGAGAGAGAGGGAGAGAGAAAGAGGGAGAGTGGTGGGAGGACAGAGTGAGGGAGAGGAAAAGAGGGAGAGGGGATGGGAGAGAGAGGAGGGAAAGAAAGAGGGGGAAAGAGAGAGAGGGAGACAGAGAGAACATGGATGGGAGAAAGAGAGGGAGACAGAAAGAGGGAGAGGATGGGAGGAGAGAAAGAAAGAAAGGGAGGAGAGAGAGAAGGAGGGAGAGGGGAAAACAGAGAGAGAATTAGCAGAACATTGTTTTTTATGGTCATTTTATCGAACTGATGGGCACGCTGGCATTATGTGGGCAAATGTTGTAAACCTGTGCTGCCCATCAGTTAGCCCTTCGAGGTAGTCCAGACAAAAAGCATAATCATGAATACTAGGGAGTCAGTTTGGCCTAGTGGTGAAGGCAACAGTCTACAAACCAGAAGATGATGAGTTCTAGTCCCACCTTAGGCATGAAAGCTTTCTAAGTGATTTTAGGCCAATCATTTTCCTTCAGCCCAGCCCAACCTCACAGGGTTGTTGTTTTGGAGAAAAGAGGAGGCGGCAGGAGTATCAGGTATGCTCCCCGCCTCGAATTATTTGTAAGAATAATAATGGCAAGGTACAAATAAATAAATACAATTTTAAAATAACCATCCTTACTAAACCTATCCAAGCCCAAGGAAGGTTTGAAGCTAAGGCTCTGATTCTAACCCAGGCCAAAGTTTGCTAAAAATTTAAGACTTCGTTGCGGACGGAAAAAAACCAGCCTTACTTTTATCGCTTCCACCAGAGGCTCGTAGAGATCTGGAAATCCTGAGAAACAGAAGAGCATGCAATGGATCAGTTCGGCCAGCTGATCCAAACATCGCGATGCCGAATTGGAGTTTTCCTTTTGGAGGGCACCGATCACTCTGGGAATATGTGGCAGAAGCTGTTAGTGGAAATAAAACATTTGAGAGGTGTTGAGGAATGGAATCTGCACCCAAGGAAAAATGTGAGCATGTAGCGAAGTCTGAAAAACAAATACAGCAGTGGCCAAAATTGTGGAAGCCTTTTGGGAAAAGTGTATTTTTGAGGTTTGATGGCTAATAACACCACTTTTTTTTTGGAGTTTCAAGATAATCCTATTCCACTGTTGGAATGGCCTGGGAATAGCCCAGACCTTAAACCAATGGAAAATCTATGGAGCCCACTAAAGAAACTGGTTAGTCAGAAGCGACCCAGCAATTAAACCCGGTTAATAGAAGCCATCATTCCATCTTGGTTTCACATTAGAACAGCTGCAGAATTCAAAGACTTGGTTCACTCCATGGGAAGACATTATCAGGCCGTCATTCGTGCTAAAGGTTACCCAACTAAGTATAAACTAACATGGTGATCATTTTTGTATATCTCGTTTTTCTAATTTTTGCAGATCTCGTTTTTCAACTTGTTTCAACTTTTCTTCTTTATACTGTAACTGCTATTCTAATAGCAAATCCTTCATAATATTGAAGGGAAACAATAATAAGGATATAATAAATAATACTAGAATATGATATACTGGTATACTAGATTCTGTAACCATTAGGTTCCTGTAATACATATATGCCTTTGTATTTATATCACATATATTATGCCTTTATATTTGTATCTCCTGTAACAAACATATTCTGTTATTAGGCCTCTGTAATGTATCTGGTATTTGTCAAACATATGTCCCTGCCATTTGACCTGAACTCATATCAATCTTCTTTCTCTGCTATCTAAAAGCATGGTACGCATCTCAGTTGAAACTACAGCCATCAACAAAGGGATAATTTACACCTCAGCCCTAATTTATGTTTGATCTGGATAAACTCCTGCTTTCCAGAGCCAGGGGGCCAAAGTGGCCAATTGAGTAAACAAAGAAATGCTTAAGATAAAACTAATTGGGAAGTTTCTATTCCCTTGCAGGGCAACAAGGAATACACAAACCTAAATTAGGAGGCCAGAATTGGGTACTAAGCTGACGTCTCTGAGGTATAAAAGGATGCCATGCCTTCTCCAAGGTGTGGCTATCTCCTCGCATGCATTGCATCTGTATGTTCTGGATATAGTCCCACCCAGTATTTTGTTTTTGGCCATAAATAAAATCTGTTTTTTTTTTTTGCAAGCCTCGTCTTGAGTCTCTCTCTTTGGCATTCTGCTGACTCAAGTATATTTTGGGACCTTATAAAAGTCATTGCATGACATTCTTGATTAAATTATCTTTCCATTGATGTATAATTTTAGGGTACTACTCCAAAAAAAAAAAAAAGCGGTGTTATTAGCTAGTTTTAGAGAATACACTTTTCCACAAAAGGTTTCTACAATTTTGGCCACTACTGTATATCTGAGGCTGTAAATGCAATAAATATCACAGAATCCAGTCTGGGTCAGTCACCAGGATCAGAGATTTTGTCTTCCAAGTTTTTGGACCTGTGCTGGAGTCCATCCTTAGGGAAATTGGACTGACGTTTTAGCTTTGGTCTTTCCTGCCTACTTTGCTTTTTGCCACATTAAGTTTCATGTTTTATTTATTTATTTATTTATTTTATCATATTTGTATACCGCCCTACTCCCGAAGGACTCAGGGCGGTGAACAGCCAAGATAAAATACAAAGACATACAAAAGTTAAAAAACTATTAAAAACAGATTAAAATAATTTAGGCTCAAAAAACAAATTTAAGACATCCAATTTATCTAAAAACATTTAAAACCCAATTTAAAAGGGAGAGTTAGGCCAGACCAGCCTGTTGGAATAAAAACGTTTTTAGGGCGCGGCGGAAGATGCGTTAAGTCTTGGATCCTCCGTATCTCCGGGGGGAGCTCGTTCCAGATGGCAGGTGCCCCCACAGAGAAGGCTCTCCCTCTGGGGGCCGCCAGTCGACATTGTTTGGCCGACGGCACCCGGAGGAGCCCCTCTCTATGGGAGCGTACTGGTCGGTGAGAGGCTATTGGTAGCAGAAGGCGGTCCCGCAAATAACCAGGTCCTAAGCCATGGAGCGCTCTAAAGGTGGTAACCAAAACCTTGAAGTGCACCCGGAAGACCACTGGGAGCCAGTGCAGCTCGCGCAGGAGGGGGGTCACATGGGAGCGCCACATCGCTCCCGTCACTACCCACGCGGCCGCATTCTGGACCAGTTGGAGCCTCCGGGTGCTCCTCAAGGGGAGCCCCATGTAGAGAGCATTGCAATAGTCCAGGCGTGAGGTGACAAGGGCGTGAGTGATGTTGTTGGATAGGGCCCTATTGTTCAAGTTTGTCAAAGTCTTTTGGAATCCTGAGTTTGTCTTCTGGGGTGTTTGCTATTCCTGCCAGCACCTCAAAAAAACTGGCTCAAAATCAGTAATTATGAGAGGGACCTTGGAGTCCTAGTGGACGATCGCTTAAACATGAGCCAGCCGTGTGCGGCAGCAGCCAAAAAAGCAAATACAATCCTTGTTGTATAAAACAGCGGCATAGAATCAAAATCACGTGAAGGATTAGTACCCCTTTATAAAACCTTAATAAGGCCACACCTGGAATACCGCATTCAGTTTTGGCCACTGCATTACAAAAATCTGGAACGAGCTCCCCCCGGAGATACGGAGGATCCCGGATCTGCACACCTTCCGTCGCGCGCTTAAGACTTTTTTATTTCATCAAGCTGGCCTGGCCTAAATCTTCTCCCCTTTTTAAATGTAAATGTTAATTTGTTTTTAAATGATGGGGTATTTTTAAATTCAGCCAAATTATTTCATTCGTTTTTATTCTATTTTAAATTTTTGTATTTATGTGTTTTATCCTGTGGCTGTTCGCCGCCCTGAGTCCTTCGGGAGTAGGGCGGGATAGAAATTTAAATAAATAAATAAATAAATAAATAAATAAATAAATAAATAAATAATAAATAAATAAATAAATAAATAAATAAATAAATAAATAAATAAATAAATAAAATGGTGTGGAGACTTTGGAAAAAGTGCAAAGAAGAGCAACGGAGATGATCAAAGGCCTGGAGACTAAAATATATGAAGAACGGTTGCAGGATTTGGCTAGTCTAGAGAGAAGAAGGAGTAGGGGGGACACAAGGGCCTTGATAGTACAGTGGTCTAAGCACCCTGTTATTAACACAGCTGCCTGCAATTACTGCTGGTTCGAATCTCTCCAAGGTTCAAGGTTGACTCAGCCTTCCATCCTTTCTAAGGTAGGTTAAATGAGGACCCAGTTTGTGGGGGCAATAAGCTGACTTTGTATAAATATACAAAAGTATGAAGGCTATTGCTTAACGCATTGTAAGCCGCCCTGAGTCTCTGGAGAAGGGCGGCATATAAATCAAATTAAAAAAAAAAAATAACAGTATTCCAGTATTTGAGGGGCTGCCACAAAGAAAAGGGGGTCAACTGATTTTCCAAAGCACCTGAGGGCAGGATAAGAAACCATGGATGGAAACTAATCAAGGAGAAAAGCAACGTAGAACTAAGGAGTGATTTCCTAACAGTGAGAACAACAAACGAATGGAATGGTTTGCATTCAGAAGTTGTGGGTGATCCAATCTTGGAGGTTTTTAAGAAAATATTGGACACTCACGTGTTTGAAATGGTATAGGGCAGGGGTCAGCAACCTGGGGCTCTGGAGCCGCATGTGGCTCTTTCACCCTTCTGCTACGGCTCCCTGTCACTCAAAATATGCGTCACAACTGCCAAAGTGCAACACCCACCAGCACACGATTTATTGCGCTTTTCAACCCCTGGCAGGCCAACCATGGATAAATCCAACAGAAGAAAAAAGTTTCAGAAGAAAACAGAACGTTTAATTCAACTACATTTGCTAGTTTTGTGGCCGCTCAAGAAATAGTCAGGCACGGGAAGGGTTTTGTGGCTCCCGGTGTTTTCTTTTCTGTGGGAAACGGGTCCAAATGGCTCTTTGAGTGTTTAAGGTTGCAGAGCCCTGGTATAGGGTCTCCTGCTTGAGGAGGGGCAGGGGCTGGACTAGAAGACCTCTAAGGTCCCCTCCAGCTCTATTCTGATTGAATTTCTCTCTAGCAGAGTGTACTGCTTTGAGCTATTGAGGTATTTATATTTGAGCTGTGTGGTATTTATAGGTGCCTGGTTGTGCGCGGCTTTTTAGTTGTTGATTGGGGTGCTGATAAAAAGATAAAGGTTCCCCTCGCACATATGTGCTAGTCGTTCCCGACTCTAGGGGGCGGTGCTCATTGCCGTTTCAAAGCCGAAGAGCCAGCGCTGTCCGAAGACGTCTCCGTGGTCATGTGGCCGGCATGACTCAACGCCAAAGGCGCACGGAACACTGTTCCCTTCCCACCAAAGGTGGTCCCTATTTTTCTACTTGCATTTTTTACCTGCTTTCGAACTGCTAGGTTGGCAGAAGCTGGGACAAGGAACAGGAGCTCACCCTGTTACGCGGCACTAGGGATTCGAACCGCTGAACTGCCGAACTTTCGATCGACAAGCTCAGTGCTGATGGCTGGCTATTAAATTATAGAGGAGGAAGGGGAGGAAGCTAGCTAACCACTAGATTACAAGAACACAAATGAGCAGTCAAACAAGGAGATCTGAACTCATCGGCAGCCTCATATTGCAATGAACAAGGACATACATTCAATTTTGCAGCTACAAAGATTGTTGGATGAGCAGGCCCAAAAACAGCCTGTTGTGGCTCCATTACCTGAGCTTGTCTCATCGGCAGGAGAGGACTCCGGGAGTGAAGGAGAGGAGTTGGCAAGGCCTCCCTCTCCAGGACCCTCCTCTTTGGCAATGCCTTCGGTGTCCGCCGAAGGGCAAGAGATAGGGCTGGGGTCAAGCACGTCCACGCAGCCACAGATGGACAGTGATGAGGGTAATGAGTCTTGGCTGGATCCACGCCAGCGTCGCAGAGATAAGCGCACGCAACAGAAGAAAAGGCGTGCCCGAGATTAGGCTGAGTCACTGGACCACACCCCACAGGATATAAAAAGGAGCGTGGTGGCCAGTCAAACCTTGTGACGAACAAAGCTGAAAGCTTCCACACCATTCTGCATTGCCGGACTTTTGCTATAGACTTTGCTGGATTATCTCTGGACTTGATTGACTCTGTAATTATTGAACATTTTACTTTGATGTACCAGAAGCGGAGAGAAGTTATCTCTTCCCTTCGTGAGTAATAAACTCTTGGCAGGCAGCCACTAGGTTGCTGCCAAGTTCCGTTATCAAAAGGAAAAGGATTTTGTCGGCTGGTTTAGTCTTTAACTCTTGAATGTCTGTTGGTGTGTGTGCGTGGGGGACGGGGACAGAACACAGCCAGGGAAGGGATTGATCCCTGAGGATGGGCTCTGGCACGAGTCCGAAAGCTTGGAAGACAAAAACCTCTAGTTCCGGTGACTGACCCAGATTGGATAATGCAACATTATCCTGGGACACGCATATTCGCCTTCATTCGCAATAAATATCCTTATAAGGTGGCCAACAGCCAGAGGCTCAAAGCAATACATGATTAATCGGAACAGGGATTTACCAGGTGAAATGCTTCGTGAGAGTGCTGGAAACTCAGCAACATGTAACGCAGAATAGAGAGAGTCCCTTCTCTCAGAATAGGGTATAGTAGCTTGGAAAACACCTACAGAAACAACAAAGTAAAGATTAAGGGAGGTAGATTAGCAGAATCAGGATAAGCACAATTCCTACAGCAATTTTTCTCCAGCCCGGTAAGAGATGTTGTGAAAGGCTTGGAGTGGGTGTCTGGAGAATATAAATCACCAGGAGATGATGAGTTCTAGTCCTGTCTTAGCCATGAAACCAGCTGGGTGACTTTGGGCCAATCACCAGGAGATGGTGAAGTCTAGTTCCACCATAGGCAGGAAAACCAACTCGGTGACTTTAGGTCAACCACAAGGAGACTGTGAATTCTAGTTCCACCTTAGGCATGAGAGCTAGCTGGGTGACTTTGGGCCAATCATCAGATGATGGTGAATTCTAGTTCCACCTTAGGCATGAGAGCTACCTGGGTGACTTTGGGCCAATCACCAGGAGATGGTGAATTCTAGTTCCACCATAGGCAGGAAAACCAACTTGGTGACTTTAGGTCAACCACAAGGAGACTGTGAATTCTAGTTCTACCTTAGGCATGAGAGCTAGCTGGGTGACTTTGGGCCAATCATCAGATGATGGTGAATTCTAGTTCCACCTTAGGCATGAGAGCTAGCTGGGTGACTTTGGGCCAATCACCAGGAGATGGTGAATTCTAGTTCCACCATAGGCAGGAAAACCAACTCGGTGACTTTAGGTCAACCACAAGGAGACTGTGAATTCTAGTTCTACCTTAGGCATGAGAGCTAGCTGGGTGACTTTGGGCCAATCATCAGATGATGGTGAATTCTAGTTCCACCATAGGCAGAAAACCAACTCGGTGACTTTAGGTCAACCACAAGGAGACTGTGAATTCTAGTTCTACCTTAGGCATGAGAGCTAGCTGGGTGACTTTGGGCCAATCATCAGATGATGGTGAATTCTAGTTCCACCTTAGGCATGAGAGCTAGCTGGGTGACTTTGGGCCAATCACCAGGAGATGGTGAATTCTAGTTCCACCATAGGCAGGAAAACCAACTTGGTGACTTTAGGTCAACCACAAGGAGACTGTGAATTCTAGTTCTACCTTAGGCATGAGAGCTAGCTGGGTGACTTTGGGCCAATCATCAGATGATGGTGAATTCTAGTTCCACCTTAGGCATGAGAGCTAGCTGGGTGACTTTGGGCCAATCACCAGGAGACGGTGAATTCTAGTTCCACCATAGGCAGGAAAACCAACTCAGTGACCTTAGGTCAACCACAAGGAGACTGTGAATTCTAGTTCTACCTTAGGCATGAGAGCTAGCTGGGTGACTTTGGGCCAATCATCAGATGATGGTGAATTCTAGTTCCACCTTAGGCATGAGAGCTAGCTGGGTGACTTTGGGCCAATCACCAGGAGATGGTGAATTCTAGTTCCACCATAGGCAGGAAAACCAACTCGGTGACTTTAGGTCAACCACAAGGAGACTGTGAATTCTAGTTCTACCTTAGGCATGAGAGCTAGCTGGGTGACTTTGGGCCAATCATCAGATGATGGTGAATTCTAGTTCCACCATAGGCAGGAAAACCAACTCAGTGACCTTAGGTCAACCACAAGGAGACTGTGAATTCTAGTTCCACCTTAGGCCTGAGAGCTAGCTGGGTGACTTTGGGCCAATCACCAGGAGATGGTGAGTTCTAGTCCTGCCTTAGCCATGAAAGCCAGCTGGGTGATTTTGGGCCAATCACCAGGAGACGGTGAATTCTAGTTCCACCATAGGCAGGACTAACCAACCCGCTCGATTTTGGACAGCGTGACTTCCATCAAGATGCTGAATTTCTTCACCGCCGCCAAATTCTTCAGCAAGGCTATGATCCATTTGTCTAAGTTCTTGCCCAGGGGCCAGGAGACCCATTCAATCATCCTGCGGCCAGAAAGAAGAAAGATGAAGAGAGAGAGAGAGAGAGGCTGGGATTAGATGGAGTGCAAGCCAGCTTCGGAGCCGCAGATTAAAAGAAATGGAGCTGTTTGCAAGATCCTGGAGAATGGTGGGAACTGAGAAGAAATCCTATCTAATGGTTATGTGATTAGGAGGAGGAGGGGGTGGGGGGAGGAAGGAAGAGGAGAAGGAGGAGAAGGAGAAAACTAAGAAGAGGGAGAGGGAGGAGGAGGAAGGGGGGAAGAGGAGGAGGAGAAGGAGAAGGAAAAGGAGGAGGAGGGAAGAGGAGAAAGAGGAAGAGGGAGGAGGAGGAAGGGGGAAGAGGAGGAGAAGGAGAAGGAAAAGGAGGAGGACGGAAGAGGAGGAAGAGGAAGAGGGAGGAGGAGGAAGGGGGAAGAGGAGGAGGAGAAGGAGAAGGAAAAGGAGGAGGAGGGAAGAGGAGAAAGAGGAAGAGGGAGGAGGAGGAAGGGAGGAGGAGGAGAAGGAGAAGGAGAAGGAAAAGGAAAAGGAAAAGGAGGAAGAGGAAGAGGGAGGAGGAGGAAGGGAGGAGGAGGAGAAGGAGAAGGAAAAGGAAAAGGAGGAGGAGGAAGAGGAGAAAGAGGAAGAGGGAGGAGGAGGAGGAGGAAGAGGAGGAGGAGAAGGAGAAGGAAAAGGAGGAGGATGGAAGAGAAGGAAGAGGAAGAGGGAGGAGGAGGAAGGAAGGAGGAGGAGAAGGAGAAGGAAAAGGAAAAGGAGGAGGACGGAAGAGGAAGAAGAGGAAGAGAAAGAGAAGGAAAAGAAGGAGGAGGAGGAGGAAGAGAAGGAGAGGGAGGAGGAAGAAGAAAAGGGGGAGGAGGTAAAAGGATTATTATTATTCTGAATCTGAAAGCTCGGAAGGTTAAACTTCGAGTCCTGGTGAATCACTAGTCATTTTCTATTTTTCGTTACCTTCCAATCGCGGTCATCATCTGGAGGTCAGTGATGCTGTCATCGTTGGTGAGGTTTCTTAGGATGCCGTCCATCAGCTCTAGCGGAACGTATTGGACCACGCTGGCTAAGGCAATAGAAGGATCCTGATCGTCTGCAAAACAAATGAGCAGGGGCAGGCCAACTATTTTAACAACATCTATATAGGCCAGGGGTCTGCAACCTTAAACACTCAAAAGAGCCATTTGGACCCGTTTCCCCACAGAAAAGAAAACACCGGGAGCCACAAAACCCTTCCCGTGCCTGACTAATTCTTGAGCGGCCACAAAACGAGCAAATGTAGTTGAATTAAATGTTCTGTTTTCTTCTGAAACTTTTTTTCTTCTCTTGGATTTATCCATGGTTGGCCTACCGGGGGTTGAAAAGCTCAAGAAATCGCGTGCTGGTGGGTGTCGCACATTGGCAGTTGTGACGCATATTTTGAGTGACAGGGAGCCGCAGCAGAGGGGTTGAAAGAGCCACATGCGGCTCCGGAGCCGCAGGTTGCTGACCCCTGATATAAGCTATATGCAAAAGAGGCCAAAAGAGAACAAAAGGACCCCAGCATTTCTCCACCAGCAATCAGCACCCAGATCAGCGTAGATTAACTCCAAGGTTCACTTCAGACCAACAATAAAGTAAGCAAAATACCCCAATCAAGAAACAGCCAAAGAGCCATCCGTAAACAGCCCAACCAAAGGATCTCTTAAGACTGCTGAAAGGTGGGACATCAGAATATAAATGGACAGCAAATAGCACTCCTTACAAGCACTGATGATGCTACCTAGTTGGGTAATGAAACGTCTGCAAGAAAACAAGGAAGCTCGGAGAGTACCAAGGACCCCACAGTCCTCCTCCTCCTCCTCCTCCTCCTCCTCCTCCTCCTCCTCCTCCTCCTCCTCCTCCTCCTCTCCACAAACCCCACTCCCTTCTAGCACTGATGATGCTACCTAATTGGGTAATGAAACGTCTGCAAGAAAACAAGGAAGCTCAGAGAGCACCAAGGAGTCCACAGTTCTCCTCCTCCTCCTCCTCTCCACAAACCCCACTCCCTTCTAGCACTGATGATGCTACCTAATTGGGTAATGGAACGTCTGCAAGAAAACAAGGAAGCTCAGAGAGCACCAAGCACCCCTCAAACCATTTTAAAGTTGAAACGTTCTGAACTGCAAGCATCTAGATCTTGGGGTTTTGCCCACTGATAATCCTTAAGATACAGGCAAGTCAAAAATTATACCTTAAGATGGTTTAAGAGCCTAAGGGACAGGGTGGCTGTACAGGCAGGGAGTTCTCGACTTACGACCATAGTGGAGCTCGCCATTTCGGTCATCAGCTGTTGTGTCATAAAGTCGCCGGATGGTCACAGGTGATTTTATGACCGTTTTTGCTCAAGCAGGAGACCCTACACCGTTCCAGATAAACGGCTTTCCAGTCTCTTCTTAAAAACCTCCAGCCGTTGGAGCACCCACAATTTCTGGAGGCAAGCCGTTCCACCGATTTTGGGCTCCATTGCGGTCGTAAGTCGAGGACTACCTGAAAAACACTGTCTGAAACCAAGGTCTACACAGCCTTCCATCCTTCCGAGGTGGGTAAAATGAGGACCCAGATTGTTGGGGACTCTGTAAACTGCTTAGAGAGGGCTGTATAAAGCACTGTGAAGAGGGTTGGGCTCCTGGGGGTTCGGCAGGGTTTGGGCGATCCTCTGGCCAAGGATCACTGGGGTTCGGCGAACCCCCAAATGCCACCCCTGGCTGGCCCCACCCTACTCCTCCCAGGAGTCTCCACGCAGTCCGTTCATCATTCCAGGTAAGTGCAAGGGCCGCACGGAGGGTCTGAGACGGCAAAAAACAGGCCTACTGGAGGTTCCGGAAATTCAGAAACAGGTCTGTTTCCGGCCTCCAGAAGGCCTCCGAAGCCCGGGGGAAGCCGTTTTTGCCCTCCCGGAGGCTCAAGAAAAGCCTCCGGAGCCTGGGGAGGGCGAAAAAGCCCCCCCTACACACCGTGGTGCAGGCAGCTGACTAGGCCACACCCACCATGGCCACGCCCACCCAGCAACAGGGCAGTGAACCCGTTGTTAAAAGATCTGAAGCCCACCCGACTGCAAAGCGGTATATACGTCTAAGGGCTATTGCTAAGTGCTATAACAAAGTCCCCATCCCTACCGATTGTTGAAATGATGGTGAAGAGTTCCTTCAGCGAGGGAAGGATGGAGGTCATCTGAGTCTTCCAGATTTTCTGCAGCAAAAGGCTGACTTGGATCACCTGGTCCAAGAACTCCATGATGGCGTCTTCCCTTCCCGAGGTGGTATGGAACTGCCCGATGCATCGGACCAGTTGTTGGCAGAACAGGATCTGACGTTTGCCGGTGGGGACACACAGAGGGTACTGGATTAAGAGCTTACTGATCTTCACACATTGCTTCAGGACTGGCCTCTCGCAGATCTTCCGGAGGACTTCAGTCCTCAGCAGGCTGAAGACGTCGTTGGCCGAAGGACCATCCATCACGAAGGGCAACCCAAGGTGTATGTAATCAAACACGTACAAGCTTCTCTTCCCGAGGGGTCCATAGCCTTCCTGGAGAAGACTTAAGAGGAACTGGGCATTGAAGAATTCTTCAAAGGCCTCTTGGTGATAAAGGCCACAGACTTCCAGGATCTCCTTACCAACTGACCTCTTGAATTTGGTATCACCCAAGAGAAAGAGCTTGGTGGAAAGCTCCAGCATGGACCAACACTGTTCGGTGTCCATGGTCCTCTTCAGAGCCTCGATGATACGCCTCACCAGGCCTTGCTTCATGTGATCGGGGTAGGAAGAGGCCAAGATCGCTTCCAGGATTTTATCCATGTTGGCTTCTTGGAAGTCCTCAAAGAAGATCAGACACGTTGAGGCCACTAGCAAACCCTTCCTCCCTGGAATGGAGATGTTGGGTTACATATCATAATTATAATGACTGTAAAAGGTAAAAATCTCTCCAAGGCTCAAGGTTGACTCAGCCTTCCATCCTTTCTAAGGTAGGTGAAATGAGGACCCAGTTTGTGGGGGCAATAAGCTGACTTTGTATAAATATACAAAACTTTGAAGGCTATTGCTTAACTCATTGTAAGCCGCCCTGAGTCTCCGGAGAAGGGCGGCATATAAATCAAATTAAAAAAAAAAAAAAAAAAGGTTCCCTTACATATGCTTGCTAATCATTTCTGGCTCTAAGGGACGGTGCTCATCTCCGTTTCAAAGCCGAAGAGCCAGCACTGTCCAAAGACGTCTCCATGGTCATGTGGCCGGCATGACTAAACGCCAAAGGCACACAAAACGCTGTTCCCTTCCCACCAAAGGTGGTCCCTATTTTTCTACTTGCATTTTTTACCTGCTTTCGGACTGCTAGGTTGGCAGAAGCTGGGACAAGGAACGGGAGCTCACTCCGTTACGCGGCACTAGGGATTCGAACCGCTGAACTGCCGACCTTCTGATCGACAAGCTCAGCGTTTTAGCCGCTGAGCCCACCTGTTGGGTTACATATCATAATTATAATGACTGTTAACAGGACATAAATAAGAAACGTGGAGCCCCAAGGATTCCAAATATGCCACTACAAGGACAAAAATTGTCAAATCTGGACGGGGAGGTTTCCTTGCAAGCAAACATTGTGTTGTTCTTATGGTCTAAGAATTTGTATATTCCCATACGTACAACCAGTTAAATATGAGCTAGCCATGTGCTGCAGCTGCCAAAAAAGCCAATGCAATCCTAGGTTGCATTAACAGAGGGATAGAATCAAGATCACGAGAAGCGTTAATGCCACTTTATAAGGCCTTGGTAAAGTCACACTTGGAATAATGCATCCAATTTTGGACGCCATTTTGTAAAAAAGATGTGGAGACTCTAGAAAGAATGCAGAGAAGAGCAACAAAGAGGATTAGGGGACTGGAGGCGAAAACATACGAAGAACGGTTGCTGGAACTGGGTATGTCTAGTTTAATGACAAGAAGGATCAGGGGAGACATGATAGCAGTCTTCCAATATTTGAGGGGCTGCCCCAAAGAAGAGGGAGTCAAGCTCTTCTCCAAAGTACCTGAAGGCAGGACAAGAAGCAATGGATGGAAACTAAACAAGGAGAGAAGCAACTTAGAACTACAGAGAAGATTCCTGACAGCGAGAACAATTAACCAACGGAACAGCTTGCCTCCAGAAGTTGTGGATGCTCCAACACTGTGAAAAACGGTCATAAGTCACTTTTTTCATCGACGGTCACTAAATGAACTGTTCTAAGTCGAGGACCACCTGTAAGTATTTTTATTTTATTTTTCATTCTTTCTCCATCTTTTAACGTTACCGGTACTTTGATCTTTTCCTCGAAGGATACAATTCTGCTAAATAAGATTTTTTTTAAAAAAAATAATAATAATTGAAATAATGTTTTTCTGGTTTTTTTAAAGAGCCTGAGTGGCGTAGGAGGCTAATGCCTCCTACTAAGGCAGCATTTAACATCCAGCTGCCTGCAATTACTGCGAGTTCAAATCTCGCCAAGGCTCAAGGTTGACTCAGCCTTCCATCCTTTCTAAGGTGGGTAAAATGAGGACCCAGATTGTGGGGGCAATAAGCTGACTTTGTATAAAATATACAAAAGTATGAAGGCTATTGCTTAACGCATTGTAAGCTGCCCTGAGTCTCCGGAGAAGGGCGACATATAAAAATAAATAAATAAATAAATAAAGGTCATAAAACCATCCATGACTCACGTAACAACTGTTCTGCTTAGCAACGGAAGTTCTGGTTCCCAATTGAGGCCATAAATCAGGGACTTACCTGTAGCTGATTACAATCCAGTCTAAAGCAAAATATTTCCAAATAGTGGAAATACTTTTTTCCTCCCTCTTTTGCTTAGAATATTCTGTGTTTTCTCTGGAAACGGGAGATATTTTTTTCCTGCGTCTCCTTTCACCTCCTAGAAGGCTTGAGGCCTGGGCCATAAAAAAAAAAAACAGCAACCAGGAAAAATAAAATTCCACTGACCTTGTTATCTTTCGTTCCTGTTCTATCAGCTCCCAAAATTGCATCACTGTCTTTTTCCACAGTCCATCGGACATCATAACTCACGAAGAAATTCAAGACCTTGGGAACTTTCTGAGGCTGTTGCAATATCTGAACCAAACTGATTAGTCCTACACGGAAAAGTCAGTCTGAATAATATTTTAGTTTATGATTCTGGGTTTTCCTAAGCGGGGAAAATCCCCTGCTTGCCCTTAAGACATCCAAATCTGCCTTTTAGTCAATCCTTCCTGGAAGAAAACCAGAATAAAAAAAACAATAAAGTTGGAAGGGACCTTGGAGGTCTTCTAGTCTGACCCCATGCTCAAGGAGGAAACCCTTTACCATTTCAGACAAAGGATTGTCCAATCTCTTCTTAAAAACCTCCAGGGATGGAGCACCCACAACTTCTGGTGGCAAGTCATTCCACTGGTCCATTGTTCTCACGGCCAGGAAATTTCTCCTTAGTTCTAAGTTAGTTCCTCTCCTTGATCGGTTTCCGTCCATGACCACAATCGAGCCCAACATTTCTGCCGTTAAGTGAGGCATTTGTTCAGTGAGGTCTGTCCCATTTTTACGACTTTTCTCGCCACCGCTGTTAAGTGAATCACTGCCGTTGTTAAGTTAGGAACACGGTTGTTATGTGAACCTGTCTTCCCTGTCTTGATTTTGCTTGTCAGAAGGTTGCAAGATGGGATCGCATGGCACACACACACACACCCAGGACGCTGCGACCGTCAGTTGCCAAGTACATGAATTTTGATCAGGTCACTCTGGGGATGCTGCAACGGACATTAAATCATAAGTCACTTTTTCAATGTCGTTGTAACTTTTAACGGTCACTAAATAGAATAGAATAGAATAACAGAGTTGGAAGGGACCTTGGAGGTCTTCTAGTCCAACCCTCTGCTTAGGCAGGAAACCCGACACCACTTCAGACAAATGGTTATCCAATCTCTTCTTTAAAACTTCCAGTATTGGAGCATTCACAACTTCTGGAGGCAAGTTGTTCCACTGATTATAATTGTTCTCCCTGTCAGGAAATTTCTCCTTAGTTCTAAGTTGCTTTTCTCCTTGATTTAGTTTCCATCCATTGCTTCTTGTCCTGCCCTCAGGTGCTTTGGAGAATAGCTTGACTCCCTCTTCTTTGTGGCAGCCCCTCAAATATTGGAATACTGTTCTGATATCCCCCCTAGTCCTTCTTTTCTTTTCTTTTCTTTTTTTTTAATTTTTAATTTTTTAAACAAAACATAAAACAAATCCATCATTACAAAATCAAACAGTGTGTCAGTCGGTTACAAATCTTTTGTGCTTCATCGCCATATTCAAAATTTACTAATTATCTAATTTCTCATATTGTCAAACAAATCAACATCCTCATTTATCATTTATTTGACTATGGCTTTGTCGCTTCAAAAAAATTACTTTCAAATATTATATTTATAGCATTCATTTCATATGTCATTTCCATGTTTTATTATCTAGCCATTGATAAAATAAATCCCATATCTTATAGTACTGTTTATCTTCTTGTTCTCTAATTTCAAATGTCAATTTACTCGTTTCAGCACATTCCGTGATTTTCTTCATAATTTCATCTTGCGTTGCTATTTTCTCATTTTTTCCAGTTTTTAGCAAACACAATTCTAGCAGCTGTTAAAACATTCATAATCAAATATCTCAATTCTCTATTGTATGTTTCTGGCACAATCCCTAATATAAAAATCTCTGGCTTAAAGTCTACATGTTTTTTTGTCATTTTTTCCAACCATGTGTGGATTTTAGTCCAGTATCTTTTCGCTTCTACACATGTCCACCACATATAGTAATATGAGCCCGGTATCTGATGACATTTTTTTTTAATTTGATTTATATGCCGTTTGATTTATATGCCGCATTAACAAATGCGTTAAGCAATAGCCTTCATACTTTTGTATATTTATACAAAGTCAGCTTATTGCCCCCACAAACTGGGTCCTCATTTCACCTACCTTAGAAAGGATGGAAGGCTGAGTCAACCTTGAGCCTTGGCGAGATTCGAACCAGCAGAAATTGCAGGCAGCTGTGTTAATAACAGGGTGCTTAGACCACTGTACTATCAAGGCTCATTTCCAACACTTCTCAGATTTGTTCTTGAACATTCTCGCTATTCTTGTCGGGGGTAGATGCCACTTTCTTTTCATTAAACTAGACATACCCAGTTCCTGCAACCATTCTTCATATGTTTTATCTTCCAGTCCCCTAATCATCTTTGTTGCTCTTCTCTGCACTATTTTCTAGAGTCTCAACATCTTGTTTACATCGTGGTGACCAAAACTGGATGCAGTATTTCAAGTGTGGCCTTACCAAGGCATTATCAAGTGTTAGTAACACTTCACGTGATCTTGATTCTATCCTCCTGTTTATGAACTCCTGTTAAGTCGAGAACTATCTATACCTCAAGAGCTGTCCGATGTTCCTTCTCCTTAATTCAAGCATTCTCAGCTCTTTCTTCATTTTTAGTGTTGGCTCTTCTGCTCTTTTATTATCGAAGGAAGGTTACAGCTTCCATTGGGACCGCAGAGATATTTTTGGAAATAAAAAGATTATGCTTCAGTCCGGTATAGATTCTGCCTTTATTTTTAGCATGCTTTATTCAATCTCTCAGCCCGTACAAAAAAAAGGCCAAACTATTCTTTAGGACTTGGGACGCGGTGGCTCAGTGGTTAAGACGCTGACCTTGTCGGTCGAAAGGTTGGCAGTTCAGTGGTTCGAATCCCTAGTGCCGCGTAACAGGGTGAGCTCCCGTTCCTTGTCCCAGCTTCTGCCAATCTAGCAGTTTGAAAGCAGGTAAAAAATGCAAGTAGAAAAATAGGGACCACCTTTGGTGGGAAGGGAACAGCATTCC